ACAACAAACAGATGCACGCGCCCGACTTGTGTCGAAAATTTCACCCCCGTAGCCCGCACCGTTCCGGAGCAATAGCCCGCCAAGCGTGACTGACGCGTTACATACGGACGTTTTGATTTTTATATAAGTGAACTAGAGGGACAGCATTACGCGCAGCGTGATAAATCAATTTTCATTAAAATCGGCCCAGTAGCGGCCGAGTAATTGCAATAATAAATTTGGCGTCTCCTCTTGGCCGGCGGTGCTCTGTTCCGGTATTCATTGCCAAAGGTCAACGACCTGCCGGCTCTGATTTCGCTCAGTTTTGCAAGCGAAGAAACTGAGCCTACGGCACGTGCTCACTGCTCGGCGCCGGCCGCGGCCCAAAATCCCGCAAAGATTCGCCCGCCACGTGCAAACCGCCGATCGCACCCCCTCGAAAAGTTGATACGACAAACAGATGCACGCCTCTGACTTACGTCGAAAATTTCACCCCGGTAGCCCGCACCGTTCCACAGCAATAGCCCGCCAAGCGTGACGGACGCGTCACATACATACATACGGACGTTTTGATTTTTATATAAGTGAAAATACTGACGCTGCATAAAGAACAGCAATACCGAACAAATGATAATTTTGTGGATTTTAATTGCAAATTTGGTGTTGACTTCCTATGTTAGCTATATTGTCCTTTCCAGTTGGTATTCCGGTGAACGATGCAAATAATTAATGCGAATGTATATTTAGTATGTTGAAAGCACACCAAGTTTTTGCATAAACCTCATCACTGGTGTAGGCACTAACATCATTTTATGACCGGTAGTAGTACCTATATGTCGCAGAGCCTATTTTAAGGGAATTTGACTGGGGGGGGCAACCTGGAAAATTGTCTTTAATAATCCATTAACCCTCGCCCGTATTGGTGTTTCCAGTAGCGAGCGTATAGGGGGGGGGGGGGGTCCGTTGGACCCTCACCCTTGCCGTTTCGCCCCTGATCGAGCTAGAGCTTCGCGGAAAAAACGACCGTGTTGCCCTGATAAAAGGAAGCCGATTATACCCAATTTTAAGGTCCTAGGTCATCGGTTGACCTTCCAGGTCAGGTCATTGACCCAAAAGTCGGGAAAATCGGGACCTGTTAGAGCGTCGTAAAGAGTGGCTGCTATGGTTTTTCGGGGTGCTGATCACGAATATCATGTTAGTTATGATCATAGATGATGTCTTCATGCATTTAGGCCAGGTCAGGTCAGGTCAGGTCAACCAGTAAGGGTTTTGCCGGGTATTTGTAGTAGGTGGCAACCGCCTCTGACAGCTTCGTAACATGTTACGAAGGCACCAAAACTACTTCGTAAATGGTCAAATGGTTGCTTAATTCGAATTCAGCTCCAAAAACTAGCCTAGAAAGTAGAAACATATAAAACTCGAAAATGTGAACCGAGGTCATCAAAGGTAAATGATCTGACCTGACCTTCCGGTGATCTTGACACCCACCCTAATGCATGGGAGCTACATCATATCCCATGTTTGAACGTTTGAAACCACGAAAAGACTGCAAACGCGCGGCTAATGCGAGGCGACATACGCCGAATCGCGACCTCGGCCAAACATGGTGCCATGGTGCTAGGCCGCCGGTGCATCTGAAAGAACTGTGGTGCCCCTGACAAGCCTGAAGTTCCAACGACAGGCCCGTGGTGCCCCTGACAGGCCCATGATGCCTTTGCGAGGCCGGTGGTGTCCACGTGAGGCCGGTGGTGCCCCTGGGCCCTGACAGGACTGTGGTGCTCCTGACAAGCCTGGAGTGTCCCCGACAGGCACGTGGTGCCACTAACAGGCCCAAGGTGTCCCAGTCCCTGCGAGGCCGGTGGTGTCCCTGCCAGGCATGTGGTGTCCATACTAGGCCTCTGGTGCCCCTGACAGGTCCGTGGCGCCCTTGCTAGGCCTATGGTGCCTCTGGCAGGCCTATGGTGCCCCTGGCGGGCCTGTGGTGGTACCCCTGACAGGCCCAAGGTGGTGCCCCTGCGAGGCCGGTGGGGCCCCTGGCAGGTCTGTGGTGCCCCTGGCAGACCTATGGTGCTCTTGCTAGGTTGATGGTGCTCCCAACAGGCCTGTGGTGCCCCTGACAGGCCGGTGGTGCCCCTGGCAGGCCTGTGGTGTCCCCGGGCCCCAAGAGGGTGGGGGGTCATGACCCATATGACCCACCCTTAGATACACCACTGGTCATTACTTACAGACTGACTCATTTGACATCCATTGCAAAACAAGTCACAGTAGTTACGTAGTATGTTTGTCACCCTGTTCCTTTATGCCCATTTTTATAGTGGGCAAATCTCGACGACTAGGGGGGCAATTCTGTTGAGTGCGGGGGCATTTGCCCCCCCAGTTAACATGTTAAAATAGGCCCTGATATGTCGGAACAAATACCTATGCTTTCTATAAATCGTCTACCGTGTGCTTTAATCAGCTACCCATATTTGTACCGATAAATTAAATATATTTTTCGTGATCAACGTTCTGTGAAACGAAGTTTTGCTTGTTTTAAAACACATTTTTGTATTATGTTTTCTTTTTGCATAAATCAGTTTATTGCTAACATCATTATTCAACCTGTCATGCATAATCCATATTCCAGCTTCTAACCTTCGAGATACAGACACATAATTTGATAGCCTCCCCCCCTTCCTCTCCCGTTGCACACGCAGCCAAAGTGCCTGGGCATACCTACGCTTTGAACAGCGGTGATGTGTATTCGCGGAAGGTGCATGTGCACGTGAAGGTGCAATGCATGTCGCTCATTAATTACATGGTGTTTTGAGTGATTCTTGGTCGCAAGAGCCTCTAAAACCTTTCTCACAATGCTGCTTATCTGGTCTCCGCCCAGGTATGATTGATTTATTGAGCAGGTGCCGTTTATAACTGGTCTTATTAATTACCTACGTCCAAACGCAATGGCCAAGTATGCGCAACTTTGGTTGATAACATTATCGGTATGTCACTTCGAATCACGATTTTAAAACCCGCGCCCTGCTGGGGGGTTTACGGTGGGGTTTATTACGGTTTTACGCTGGGGGGGGGGGTCCGGGGTTAACTACGGTTTTTCGCGAATATCTCAAAAACGGCGGCGCTTCCCGCCGCCGTTTTTGGCACACCTTTTCATTCATCTTTTCTACATAGGTTGTGAAAATTTCAGACCCAGCTCACTTAACCCTCGCCCGCACATGCCATTTTCCCATCCTAGAACGCACATGGGGGGGGGGGGGGGGTGGTTGCCACCCCCCGCGCCATTTCGTTCCTGTTGGAGATAGAGCTTAGCAGTAAAGACCAAAAAGATTCTTTGGGAAGAGACGAATCCAATGATACCCAGTTTTACCTTCTCAGGTCAGTCATTGACCTTCCAGGTCAGGTCAAACTAAAAAATGTTGCTGTTTTGGGTCACCGTTGGATATCAAGTGCGCTGCTTATCAAATACCGATGACGATGCTGTTTTCTGGTGCCAAGCCAGCTAGAACCTCTTTGTCACACTATCCGACCAGAATTTTGCTGCTGAGGTCATTTCAGGTCAAGTTAGGTCAAGGTCAATTACATGTGTTTGTATGTCTGTGTGTGTCTGTGTGTATACTGATGTGTGCACCGATTGTTTTTGGGTCCATATCACATGAAATCATGATCTGTGAAGCTTTTACCAAAAATGCAGTCAAAAAACTTCACAAAAAGTAAATTCAGCTTGCCTAAAACGCAATTATTTTAGATGACCTAGGTTGACCTTGACCCTGATCTTGACCCCTGTACATCGTCGAACAACATGTTCCATGATAGGTGGGAGGTAAGACTGGCAAAAAAGGCCGAAATCAGGGTGTCAAAAGCTCACAAGGCCCATGGCAAACGCAAGATGTTGAGAATTGGCCATTTGGGTCATGACATGACCTGAAAAACAAGGTCATATCTCCGAAACCAAACATCACAGAAACTTGAAATTTTCAGTGGATATCAAGAAAGGATAGACGAGCAGCTATACGAAAAATCAGCCTTCTAGCTCTAAAAATGTTGTGCAGAGCAGAAAGACTGCCTGGGGGGGTGGCAACCACCCCCCCCCCATGTGCGGGCGAGGGTTAAGGTCAGGTCACCAGGTCAGGTCAAGTGACCTCACTACATAAAAAGTTTCAATGTTCATTAGACGCGTCTCGACGAGACAAACGCGATACCGGTAAAATCAGCGTCATACAAGCTTGGAGTCAAAAGTTATGATACAAAAACCGTTTCCGCAAAAACGCCAACTTTTGATAGTTTTTGCCTCTGGAGGCTAAACCATTGACCTTAGGTCAAATCTGAGAGCATTATTCATAATGACCTTTGAAAGAGCTATCGAATGCGATTTCCCGCAGCACTGCAGCTCTATTGGTTCCCGACTTACGTATATGTACCGATGTGTGAAAAGCTGTCAAAATCGGGAACAAAAGTTCGTAAAAATTTACCTTTGGTTACTTCCTCAAAAATTTCCTAGATAATTATGAAAGATCCTGTAGCAAGCTATATGTTGCTTTTTACTGCGTCTTTCTATAGCTTGCTTAGTTTCCGAGATGATCTGGTGTGGCCAAAAAGGCCCCCGCCATGGCAAAGCTGGCTGAGAGGCCCATTCGGGCGCGGGCTAAACAAAACATCCATAGTTTTGTCTTCCGTTGACTACATATTACTCTTCACGTCGATTTAGAGACAATATTTGGCTATTCAAGCAAATTGAGAAGGTCGTTGGTTTTACTGGGGACTGTCCCCAGTAACCCACAAGTTACTGGGGACCGGTCCCCAGTGGTGGTTACGCGCCTGTTCTTTTGGTAAATTTCTGGTAATGCCCGGTAATTCCTCGAGCTTTGCGGGGTGCATGGAAGTGCCCACCCCTTGCACGAAAGTGCCCCATACCCACAACCTCAAACCAACAAACATAACATCCAAAGGGCGGCAGGCAGTGATTGCATAATGCATAAGCTATTGCGTAAGGCCATTTGGCAATTGGCATGTGCCAGGCGGCTCACCTTTTGACAGGCCGGGTTCGGGAAGTTGACCTGCTGGGCGCAGTTGGCCATCCACGGCTCCGTGAAGAGCGCGTCCGGCTGAGCCGGCGCCCCAGGCGCTGCCTCTGCCCCCATCGCTGCTCTCGATCCCGTCCGTCACACCTGACCTGGCGTCCACCGCGCGGCTCCCCGGTTCGGCCGCAGCCAGCCGACAGCCCGGCCGAGTCGCCCGGGGCGCCGACCCGCCCCTCCCTCCCGAGGACGGTAACTGGGCGACGCTCAAACAATCACACCAACAGCGGCGGCCAGCGGCGCACCGACGACCGCTGGAGGGGGGGGGGGGGGGGAGGCGGTGTTGGGTAGCGACGGTGCATAGCCGTGACGACTTGCACCGAGTGCCGACTGAGCTTCAAAGCGGAACGGACGGCCGGCTACAATTCCATAAGTGCTGAAAAGCTATTAACATCCGCATTGCACAAATCGTGAAAGCCGGATAACAAGGAGATATATAAATATTATTGTTTTTTATTGCAACAAATGCCGTTTCACTTCATCAGCTTCGTTTATGTTATCGACTTTTTGATGTGCTGGCTGAGTCGCTGACAGTAGACGATTACTTGTTTGTTTATTTGTTAGGGCTTTAGGGCGCGCCAACCACAAAGACCATTTTGCGCCCGCATTTACGGTAGACGGTTGGATGACGTTAGGCGGACGGTTGAATGAGCGCTGGATGCTGCGAGTACAACGATGTTTATTTGACAAGGACCGACCGGTTCAATGTCCGCTCCAGAGAGTCACCTGCACAGCTGTCATAATCAAGTGTCAAAGCTAGTTTGCCCATGTCAAGCTCTGCAACAATCAAAGCTCCAAAGCCAAAACGGTGCCTACTGCATATCTGTCTAGGCGCTACCCGTACAAAATCAGCTCAACACTCGTAGTTCAGGGTTTCAGTTGATAAGGTAAGTAAAGTGAAAGTTGAGACATCGCATATAGTTATTGATGATTATTGCAAGTGAGCAAAATACAGTCCATCCAGTGTTCTCGAACTTTTACAACGCCACTCTCGCCGATCTCATGGTGGATTATCACATTCCCAATTTCTTCGCGACGGCCCTCTAGATAGCAGTGTCATGCAGCGGACGTAACCGGAACTTGATGTGGTGAATCCTCACTGTAGATGTCGCTCGCGCCGCCCAGCTGCGTTTCGTCCGGCACCTCTAGACTGACGTCATCGTCGAGGTCGATGCCGCGGACGTACGGCGTCGGTGGCGGCAGCGCCTCCAGCGAGATGGTATCCTGGAGCGTCCACGGCTCCTGGAGCACCATCGTGGGGAGCTCGTCAAAGGTCGGCGACCGGGCGGGCCGGGCGGAGTGGGCGCTGTCCCGGGCGCTGTCCGCCAGCGGGTGGGGCTCGCCGCCTTCCGCTCCCTCCCCGGCGCCGTCCGGCACGCCGAACAGACGGGGCTGCTGCTGGTGCTCGCGCCGCGGCGCCGGCCGGCCGTGCAGCGGGTAGCCCGTGACTCGGACCTGGCTCCAGGCCACCGGCAGCGGCCGCGCGCGGAACAACGCCGTGCCGGAGAGCAGGGACGAGTCGGCCAGGACCGGGGACGGCCGGCGACTGCCGCAGGAGCCCATCACCGGCCGCGCGCCGCGCCTTACGGGGTCCGGCACCGACACTGCACTGATGGGTCACAACCAGACACTGACACCATTCGCCGTGCGTGCCACTCACACCTCCAAGTTGACCGGTCAGGCTATCGTGCCCCGACCAACCCTGTCGAGACACACCACCAGCCAGTCGAGAACCCTGTGCAGTGTGCACCACTGCGACCGTCCAAGTCAGGTCACAGACAAGGCCATGGACACCGTCGCAGCGTGCGCAGACCCTCGCAGAATGCACCTGCTTACTGACTAGACGAGGGTCGATTAGAAAACAGAGATGCCAGGTCAGATAGCGGGCGCAGGTCAGCGATGACACCTGGCTGACCCGACGGTGGGGACAAGATCACTGATTAGTGCCAGACCAGACATAACTAACACATCGGCTAGTCAGGAGGCCAGACGGCTGCTGGCAGAGTGCCAACAGGACCTCTAACCACGCTCGGGCACGGAAAGTGCGCCATAAGGACAGTTGTAGATTCATCAATATGTGTATTATCGCACTGGACATGGGAGTAATGACGTATACTCTAATGTTTATTATCGCAGTGGGCATTGAGCAGCGCAGGGGCTGTCTCTACCAGATCACCTCGAGTCACAGGTTAAAACGTTCAGTACCGCAACGGAGATTGCACGCAGCTCGATAACTGATAACAGTGCGAATAGCAGAAGTGTCCACATTACACGCAAGTAGTCCACGTTAACCCAGCAGATCGCCTGGTCACAAACATACACACCAGTGGTGAGTGTCGCAAAACGAAATAAGCTCTTGCGCCGAATAAAAGGAATGTTCTACAGTAGCGTGTAAAAACGACGTAACGGTGCGTGGGACGACTGGCAATGACGCAACGCGTAGGATTGAGGTTCTACTCAGAAAGGCTGCGGCGCCGAACCAGACATGATCAGCCGACAAAAGAACCTTCAACCTAAAACCAGCACCATTCCTCCAGCCCGCAGCGCAGGCGGCCGGGAGTGTCGTGTAAAACTTTGGCACCGATCACCAGAGGGGCCGCTGAGGCCGATCGAGGCCCGTGGCACTGACTTCATAACGGCAGCGGGCGGCGGACCCCGCGCACCCACTCGGTGTCCTCAGAGCAGCGGAGGACGGTCTCCGCCGCTCGGGTACGCGGCATCACAGCGTTGTGACCAGGACAGAGACCGCAGAGCCGCCGTCTCTGGGAGTTCATTAGCCGACCGCGACCAGCGGCGTAAGGAGGCGTCAGTGCTCCACGCCACTCAGCACAGTTATAGGACGACGTCCAGCGGTCGGCGAGATTTGTACCTTCAGCAGCAGCAGCCCGATGGCGGCCAGCCCTCCCTCCCCATCACTCTGCCTGCAGTCGCCGCAGACGCACGAACACCGCTCTGCCCGGGGCAGTCCCGGCTCACTCACTCAGTCCTGTCCAGCGGCGGCGCCATTACACCGTAGCAGAACTTCATGCGCGCGTTCCTATAGACGTTCTGGTGGAGCACACTCAGTGAGCTGGTGCGGCACTTGGTGAGACACAGCTCGAACTGGTCCGTCACGGACGAGTAGACCAGGTTGTACCGGTGCTGGGACGCCTTACCGAGAACCGTGTGCAGCAGCGGCTTCTGCGGAACGGAAACGAGGAGGGTTAGACGAAAACAGCCAAGCAAGCCTGACGACTCGTGCGGTGCGGTGTGCGGTGTGCGCGCGACCATACCGCACATAACTATTCAGCAATTCAGCAATACCTACGACCACGAGTGTTAAGTCATGCTTCATTAAATTACAAACACAAGCGAACAAAGTGCGGCGAGGCCATCACTCAAAGCCAAAAGCCGAGTCATTTACGGTCCGATAAACAGCCCCGTGCTCGACCCGGTCCTGAACCACGCCCCGTGCCCTGTACTCGGTATGTGCACTGCTGAGTACGTCACTCCGGGGACGCGGTCGGCGGCTACCTTGTCCGGGTGGAGACAGCAGGAGATGCAGTGCTCGTAGACGCTGCAGCAGCCATGCTCCGAGCACGAGTCACACTGGTAGCGCCGCGTGGACGGTATCTCCGTGTCGCAGCAGCCAGTGCTCACCAGGTGCCGCCGTTCACACACGTGACCTGGGGGGCGGGGGGGGGGGCGGTCAGGGGCGCGGCGACAACGGAGACGGTGGCCGAAACTTGGATACGTCATGGAAATACATTCTATCTATGTACTTCAAATGAAGGTCTGTAGTTGATTTCGAAAGGACTGCTCCGCGTAGGAAATCCCGCGTTAAAGACGGAACGAGCAACGCTCCATCTTTGGGTTGCTCAACTCCGTCTGTCACAGTCAACCGATATCATTAGTATCCAACATAATCCAACATAATTTATTTCACCGCATCAGTGTAATTGATGCCAGACCAGTATCTTCTGACCTCTGCCCTCAGCGCACTCCCCCTCTGACCCCCACATCCACCCCTGACCTCAGCACACCCACCTGTGACTCCTACTCGCCCGCCTCTGCCCCCTCACCGTCCGTCCGCCTCTGTCCCCTCCCCCGCACGCCCACCTCTGTCCCCTCCCCCCGCCCGGTCACCTCTGTCCCCTCCCCCGCTCGCCCGCCTCTGTCCCCTCCCCCCGCCCGCCTACCTCTGTCCCCTCCCCCGCCCGGTCACCTCTGTCCCCTCCCCCGCTCGCCAACATCTGTCCCCTCCCTCCCGCTCGCCCGCCTCTGCCCCCTCACCGTCCGCCCACCTCTGTCCCCTCCCCCGCCCGCCCACCTCTGTCCCCTCCCCCGCCCGCCCGCCTCTGTCCCCTCCACCGCCCGCCCACCTCTGTCCCCTACTCGCCCGTCTCTGCCCCCTCCCTGCCCGCCCACCTCTGTCCCCTCACCGCCCGCCCGTCTCTGCCCCCTCCCCGCCCGCCCACCTCTGTCCCCTCCCTCGCCCGCCCACCTCTGCCCCCTCCCTCGCCCGCCCACCTCTGCCCCCTCCCCGCCCGCCCACCTCTGCCCCCTCCCCCACCCGCCCACCTCTGTCCCCTCCCTCGCCCGCCCACCTCTGTCCCCTCCCTCGCCCGCCCACCTCTGTCCCCTCCCCCGCCCGCCCGCCTCTGTCCCCTCCCCCCACCCGCCCGCCTCTGTCCCCTACTCGCCCACCTCTGTCCCCTCACCGCCCGCCCGTCTCTGCCCCCTCCCCGCCCGCCCACCTCTGTCCCCTCCCCGCCCGCCCGCCTCTGTCCCCTCCCTCCCGCTCGCCCGCCTCTGTCCCCTCCCCCCGCCCGCCCACCTCTGTCCCCTACTCGCCCGTCTCTGCCCCCTCCCCGCCCGCCCACCTCTGTCCCCAGCCCGCCCACCTCTGCCCCCTTCCCCCGCCCGCCCACCTCTGCCCCCTCCCCGCCCGCCCACCTCTGTCCCCTCACCGCCCGCCCGTCTCTGTCCCCTCCCCTGCCCGCCCGCCTCTGTCCCCTACTCGCCCACCTCTGCCCCCTCCCCGCCCGCCCACCTCTGACCCTTGCTCGCCCGTCTCTGTCCCCTCCCTCGCCCGCCCACCTCTGCCCCCTTCCCCCACCCGCCCACCTCTGCCCCCT